TTCCTATTATTTTTAGAGTTGGTCTTTTCATAGTGACCCAAATTTCCTGATGCTTTGTGCCAGTTTTTCAGTTTTAACATTTTCTATGACAGACATATCCTTCTATCTTATCTTCAATGCCTGAGATTTTCTCTTCTGTTTCTTGTATTCTGTTGGTGAGTCTTGCCTCTGGGGTTCCTCTTCCAATTCCTGAGTTTTTCATTTCCATATTTCCCTCAGTTTGGGTTTTCTATTGATTCAGTCTACTGTTTCTATTTCCTCTTTCAGGATTTGAACCTTTTTGTGAGTTTTTTCCTTTTGTTTTATTTTGTTTGGTGTGTGTGTATGTGTGTGTGTTTTCATTTCCTTCCACTGTTTGTGTTTTCATAGATTTCTTTAAGGGATTTAATCATTTCCTCTGTTTTATGCTTGAAAGCCATTTTAAGGTATTTTATTTGTGCCTAAATTCTGCTCAAATACTCAGGGCCTGCTGTGGTAGAGTTGCTGGGCTCTAGTGGAGACATATTGTCCTGGCTGTTGTCGATTGTGTTTTTCCTCTGGTATCTAAGCACTTGGAATTGGTAAGGTTGTAATCATAGGTGCTGATATCTGGTCTTGTCTTTGTTGGGGTGTGTTTTGCTCCTTGGTTTCTGTTTCCTCTCTAGTTCTTAGGAGAGTGTGATATCTGTGTGTTGCTTTGCAGGACATTCTTCTGGTTCTTGTTGGTGCAGCCAGTGGAGTCCCAAGTAAGAATGTGTTCCTGGGTATTGGGAACTAACACTTAGGAATGTGGATGAACTGGAATGGGGAGAGGGGGTTCACAGGAGGGAGGAAAGCAGGGCATTGCACCAGGATCAGCTTAGTTAGTCCCATGGGAATATGGGCAGCGGGTGAGGAGAGCACCACAGAAGATCTGCTGCAGAACTAGGGGTGAGACTGTAGGGTTGAACTTGGAGGAGAGGAGGGAGAGAGGAAGATTTCGAGTTAGCCTACCTATTTCCCTGGCTAGAGTTGTAACTTAATATCAGAAGATGCAAATGAGGTCCAGCTTGCATCCTGATTTAATGGGCCTATCCACACTAGTTTATCAGCTGTTACAAGTTGGTTTTAATAGATAGGTGCCTAAGTATTCTTTGCAATTGAATGACTAATTTTTAACTTGGTGCATTTTTCATTATCCATCTTGACTTTATCAACTAAAATATGCTACTTTTAATGGTTCTATTCTGTTTAGAAGTGTTGTCTGTAAATTATCTTAATTTATGGTTTCCCCAGAGTTAGTATTATAGTGGAGGGCATTCTGTGTTCTACAGCGATATCTATGTTTATATAGAGATAATCTGTACCCAAGAAATTGGCTAGCTTGTCTTGAATGAAGCACTCTAAATTACCAGAGATAGAGATACCATGAGCTACGACCTTGGACTTCTGCCACGTTTCCCATTGTTTCCCTATTCTTTGGCCATAAAGGGGCGAGAAGTTTTCAACATTCTAATTTCTTGCCCAGAGCACTTATTTCATGCATTAGAAAAATCTGTCTCCATTTGCACATGAAGCTAAGTGATTTTTTCTTTATGAAATCATATGGCTTAAAAAATGCATTTTAAATTAAATTAGAAAAACTTCCCTCTTTCCACCCTCTAGCCCCCACCTTCCCCTAAGGTACCCTCATTTAACCCTCTCATGTCCTCCCCTGAAATTATTTTTTCTTTGCTTATTATTATTACATTTCTATGTATATATATATATACATATATATGTATATATATATGCACAAATACATAAATACAAGCTATAAAGTATATGTGGCTTCAGGGCTGACCGCTCTGTATTTGATAATCAATAAGAGAACTCACCCCTGAAAGAGGCTAATTATTCTTCTCCCAGGTGTCAATAGTTTCCTATAATTCTTTGTCTAGGGGTGGGTTCCACGAAAATTTCTCCCTTACATGTTACCATGTCTATTGGTATTGCCGTTATTCCAGTCTGGCTTATATAGCTCTATCTAGCTGAGACTGTTCTGCTTCCTGATATTCTGGCTCTTGAAATCTTTCAGCCCTCTCTTCCACCATGTTCCCTGAGCCATACATGCTGGAGATATGGTGTAGGTGCATACATTAGGGCAGGGCTTGCTATGATCTGTTGATCTCTGAATTTTAGTTTACTGCATTGGTCTGTGTTTGCTATAAGGAGAAGCTTCTTTGATGAGGGCTCTCTTAACATTAATAAATATAAGAATCAAGTTTATAAAACTCAGTGGTCTAAAATACTTTAAACTAATCTTTAAATTTCAATATATGAAATTAAATTTAACTAGGGAAGTTAACAGCACTGATATAGATTATTTATAGATGATACATATAATTATCAGTATTAGAGAATTCTCTAGCAATCATATTTTTCTACACTGCACTGATTAACCTAAATTGGCAGCCATGTGGAAGGGGCTCCCATCACTTTATTCATGTAATTGAAAGTTACCACTTACCCACTTCTCTAAGATTTACACTAAATAGTCACAACTCCTTGCTTGATATGGAGGATAACTAAAACCTCCACCATTCAGAGAGGTTTCACCCAGCAATTAATTGGAACAGATTCGGAGACCTGTAGCACGAATCTTAAAAGTTCTTATCAATAAAAACAAACCCAGAGCCAGGTATTGGGGTGAAATGCTGGAAGATCAGAGAAGCAGAACAAGCCACAGCTTCCTCACCTCACCAACTTCTCAGCCGATCCTGTTTCCTTAGACTGGAAGCCTCTGTGTCCTCATCCAGAATGAATCTCAGCTGAACTGCTGCTAAAAGCCTAAAAGCTTAACCAGGCTAGTTCCTGGTTTTCACGCCTCATATACCTTTCTGCTTTCTGCCATCACTTCCTGGGATTAAAGGCATGTGTCACCATGCCTGGCTGTTTCCATTGTGACTTTGAACTCAGAGATCCAGATGGATCTCTGCCTTTTGGAATGCTAGGATTAAAGGTGTGTTTACCATCATTTTCTGGCTTCTGTGTCTAGTGGGTGTTCTGTTCTGTGACCCCAGATAAGTTTATTAGAGTGCGCAATATTTTGGGGGACACAATATCACCACAGAGACCCACAGCCAAACATTAGGTGGATCTGTGGAAGAGGGGGAGGAAGGGTTATGGAAGACAGTGGGACCAAAGACACCACAGAAAAATACACAGAGTCAACTGACCTGGACTCTGGGGAGATCATGGAGATTGAACCCCCAACCAGAGAACTTGCATAAGACTGACATGAGCCCTTTCCACATGTATTACAGTTGTATGGCTTGGTCTTCTTGTGGGACTCTTGGCAGAGGGAGCAGGATGGGAGGTGATTCTGTTGCCTTACCTTGGGATCCTTTCCTCCAGTTGAGTTGCCTCATCCAGCCTTAATAGGAGACAAGGTACCTAGTCTTGCGGCAACTTGATATCCCATGGCTGACTATATCCATGGAAGGCCTACACTTTTCTGGAGGGAAGGGAGAGGGAGTAGATGCGGGGAGGGGGAAGTCGAGGAGAGGGATTTGGAGGAGAGGAGTGAGGGGAAACTGTGATCAGGCTGGGAAAAATTAATTACTTGATTAATTAATAAAAAAATTAAAAAATCCTCACCATTTAATAATTTGCACCCTTGCTGACTCCTTCACAATTTGTCATCTGATTTAAAAGAGAGAATACCAATTGATAGAATTGATACTTAAATTGTATAACCCTCTTCCTGTCTAAAAGAAAGCATGAAACAAACAAGAAATACAATCCTGCAGAAAACAGACATTAAAGATAAAATATACCAAAATCTAGTTGAATAAATGCCAAAAGAAGTGTTACCTCATTTTATTTATTTTACTTTTAATTTTATGTGTCTGTGTGTGAGTATATGCACATAAGTGCAGTTGCTCACAGAGGCCAAAATAGACTGCTGGATTCCCTGGAGCTGTAGTTATAGGTGGTTGTGAGCCATCTGATGTGGATGCTGGGAACCAAACTCAGGTCCTCTATGATAGTAACACAAATACTTCTTTTTAAAAATTAAAAATAGTTTTATATTTCCCCTGTAGAGTGTATTCTGATTACAGTTTTCTCTTACCCAACTTCTCCCAGATCCTTTCTGCCCTTTCTTGCTCTCTTTTGTAAGAAGGCATCTAAAAACAAACAAACAAAACAAAACAAAACCAGGCATCTAAAAACCCCCAAAAAAGAAAGAAAAGGAAATAAAGTAAGTTAAAATGAAATCAAACCAGCCTGAACTGAATAGGACAAGACAAACAGAAAGAAAAGGGCCAAAGAAAGAGTACAAGAAACACATATAGACATAGACAAACACACAAAAATCCCATAAAGACATAAAATCAGAAATTATAATACATAAGTAAAATACCCATGAGGTTAAAAAAATAAATGCTCAGACAAAGCATTATAAAACAAACAAACCCTGCAAAAATGCATTGAGTTCCATTTATTGGCCATCTACTGCTGGGCCTAAGGCCTACCCTTCGGTGTGGTTTGTGTAACCCTTGAGACTCTGTTAGGGAAAACTGATATTTCCTCTGCAAGCAGTTATCAATTGGAATTAGCTTATAAGTTAAGGGTGTGGGCTTGTGACCACTTCTCTCAGCACTGGGACCCCTTCTGGCTTAGACCTGTGCAGGCCCTGTGCCTGCTGCCATAGTCTCTGTGAGATTATATGGAGTACACATTCTAAACTATTGTCCTGTCTCTCCAGTCTGAAATATTGCTTTATATGTAAAAATAAAGTAACTAGCTCTTGTACTTTTTAAATTTTATTATACACTTCTGAATTAGAAATATTTTTACATATTTATCTATAAGCTGAATAAATGACATTCAAAATCTACTCAGAAATGTCATGATTCTTTGAATAAGTAGTTTGATTCTGTTGATTTCCTCTTACCACCATATATATATATATATATATATATATATATATATATATATATATATATATATTTCATGCATAGGCAACGTGTAACTTCTATTTTTAAAAATTGAAATAGATTCTTTACCTGGAACTGAAGAAACTCTCATGGAGGAAGGTGAAGATTTTGAGAAAACATCAAAATCAACAGAACTTGTAAGTATATTATTTGTTTTTGTTAAATTCATAACACATAGAGAGAGATGGGCAGGGGAGAGAAACAACTACGATAGCATCCACAAAGAACAGCAATAAGTATTCTTTTTATAAAGTATACTTTAAATGCATTCACTGTTCTCTATACAGTGGCAGAGTTATTACAGCTGTAGGTGCCCCCTTTACTAAATATACAGCAAAGCTGTGTTAAGCTCTTTGGGCAGTTGTGGGAAACTTGATTGAGGCAGTAGTTAATTCCTGTAGAAGATATAACCGAGGCAGTAGTTAGTTCCTGTGAGATCGGGCATTATTAGTGCATAGGCACATTCTAAGAACTTATGAGTTGCCATGTCAAACTTGGTCAAACTTAATAAATTGAACTATATGCATGCTAGCAGCAAAGAAAATGCTTTCCGAATCTTGAATGCTTACATGTTCCTTAGTGCATGCTATATCAGGTGTGAAGTCTTTGTTATTTTTGTTACCTCTTTACCAGGGTGTGATGAGATTCAGTTTCTGACTTTTAGTGAAAATCAAGGTTAAAAGAATAAATACAGGGAAATCAAACATCTCTATATAAATTCTAAATATAAAAGTCTTTAAATGATTTTGAATTGCTCTAACACTCAGGCTAATGCAATCATTTATATTTAGACAGTGTTCATATGGTGATTGCAAATTCTCTGTGCATTTGCCTAGGTTCCCATAATGAGGTACCACAGATCAAATGGTTTAAACAATAGAAGTATTTTTCTTCCTGGATTGGAGGTAGAAGGCTGAGATAAAGTTAATTTCTACCGAAGCCTTGGAGATGTCTGTCTTCTGCCCATACCATCACATTTTCTTCTCTTTTTATTGCTGGTGTATCCCAGTTCCTCATTTTACCCAAGATGAAGCACAAGAATCACCACTGATGCTGGGTTTAAACTACCTTAGTAACTTTATTTCAGAGAATGAGATCTTTTAGGACCCCATTTACAAACACATTTTGAGATAGTCAAACAAATTGTGGGGTATCCAGTATAACCCATGCCACTGTGGTGAAACAGCATTCAGATTATACACTATTCCATTACGTTTGTCATCTTTTCTACTGAATGTCATAAAAAATTAATTCTAAAAATGCTAAAGATATTAGTGCCTCTTTTCTAAAATACTGCTTTCTCACTGTAGATTTCCTGATCTTTATTAAAATTTTGTGTTTCTGTGTTTCCTCTTATATATTACTTGTCCCTGAATCCTGATATATAACCCACTTCTTTGTTTATTATCCATATCATCCCAGATATGGAAAATAAAAATCCAGAAATTTTTGTTTTTCTACTTCTCTTTTCTTAACAGAGTATCTGCATGTAGTAGGCCCATAATACATGTCTTTTATATTAATTGCGTAACTCTGAAATAATTCTTCAGCAATGAGTTAAATATGCTAGAGCCCTAGAAACAGTAAGAGCCCTATTAATTTTTTATAGTAGTTGGTCGTTTCCTTCCCTTACCTCTGCATTCCCAGCCGCTGTTCCCTCTCTTGTCCTGAGTATGGATACACATGGTTGAGAAAACATGCCCAGACAAGCTCAGTCATGAACTTTGGAACAGTATATTACTATTAAATATTTCTTGTGTACCTCACAACTGCTTTCTAGCTACTACTCCTGTTCTACTTCGACAGCTTAAAGCCAACATGTGTTCCTTCTAACTGGTACTCAGATATTTGTAGCTATTTTAGTTTCCTTTCTGTTGCTATGCTAAAGTACTCTGACCAGAACAACTTAGAGGAGGAAAAGGTTTATTTGGCTTATGCCCCTAGATCATGGTCCATAACTGAGGGAAATCAGGGCAGGAACTCAGGAAGAATCTTGAAGTAAAAATCATGAAGAGATGATGTTTGCTGGCTTACTGGTCCAAGTTTAGCTAGCTTTCTTACACAGCCCAGGACTGCCTGCCCAGGGAATGATGTCACCCACAGTGGGCTAGACCCTCTTACATCAACAGCAGTCAAAACAATCACTCACAGACATGCCCACAAGCCAGTATGATCTGGGCAATCTGTCAATTGAGATCCCTTTTTCAGGTGACTCTAGGCAATGCCAAGGTAACAGTTTAATCTAAGACGAAATCTGTCAGCATGTTCCATCTAAGACAAATTATTCAGCCAACATACAATCTATACTTTCAACCAATTCTTACATTATGTAGTTTCAAATATACAATTTCTCCGAATGCATCCTTACTTGCTGAGTCTTCTGTAAACTCTGAGTCAAAGTGTAAGCAAATTCAGCACTTCAAATAATGTTGCCACATCAGAGAGGACAATGGGACCTGTGTTTGAGACAAATAATATTTTTTTGAAAGAACATTTTCTTCTATATAAATGTAAGTGCACACCTATAATGGCATGATAGTAAGGCTGGGTTGTCATTTGGATTGTAATAACTTCTCAATCATGATTTTCTCAAAGGTTCATGTTATTATCTGTGAAATCTAGCTGAGTTTATGTTGCTAAAAGGAGTAGGAATAGTGGCCCATGCCTGTAAATCTGCCACTTAGGCAGTGGAGACAGGAGGAACAAAAGTTCAGGGTGCACAGCAAGTTGGAGGCCAGTCTGGGCTACATGAGATCTGTCTGATCAAAACCAAAAATATTTTTTAATTAGAAAGGATACTACCAGATTCTTTTTTTCTTTTAATGACCTTATCAAATTAATCTCTGTCTACAGTGTTTGGCTTACTTTAGAACTTCTAATATCCCAGTGGAAAAAATTAATTAGCTTTGTTTAATCAAATTATTTGCAAGTGACTTCATATTGGCTTCTAGAGATTTTACCTTCTTTCCACAATGATCAAACAATGCTTTTCTAATGAAAAATTTTGTTGTACATCAATTTTGTTTTGATTCACTCAATAGATTCTTAATTCTTAAAACTTGTTCGATTGTGTTTAACAGCAGCTAAACCATTTAAATCTCTTTTGGCAATGAGTAACAATTCAAACAATATATAGATAAACATGACATTATAAACATGACATTTCTAGGTGATAGCTATTTTCAGTATGAAGAAAATGCAGATTTAAAAAGTTAATTATTTTAAGATGATCATATTTTACATGTAAATTGCCTAAAGTATGCATTTATAGTATTTTTGGACATTATTTTCCGTAAACCGAAGAGAGGCTTGTAACTTTTCCCAAATGCTAATAGGGAATTGAAGCAAAATAACTTTTCTTTTTATTATTGTAACAAATATAAAACATATCAAAGCAAATTTTCAGTGCTTTTCTACAAAATTATGAATACATCACAAATAGTAAAGTTATTTCATTTCCCACATCCACTGTCTGTGTTCACTAGCCCCCCTCCCACTCTTGAGTGGTGCCCATTAATAAGTGGACTCAGCCTTTTAGACATTTTCTCCTCATGGCTGAATCTGTGCTTCCAATACTTCTTGAATATTTTAGTGTTGGAAAGGCAATGCTTAGATTTAGATTTTTTTTCACCACTCAAAGCAGATCGTTTTTCTGAAAAATTTCTCTTCTTTGGCTATGTTCTAGAAAGCTTTTTAGCACACACATAATCCATGCAGATTAAAACTGGATTTGTTAGGTAAATCCCTTTATTAAAAATGGGTGAACAAAAAGAAAAAAAGTCTTCAAAAGAAAAATCCCAAGCAGCAGGTATTGACCACTGTGGCTTAGCTTCATGAGTGTAATAGACAGATGCTTTAGATCAACAATTGCTGAAGATTTACATAAAGATTTTCCGAACATCACAATTCCTACAGTGCTCTTAATATTAAGTTTTCTTTATTTTGTTTTCAGGATATTAATTAAAAACCTGGACACAGAGAAAAGATGAAAAGATAATTAGGAAAGATATTTTATCAACTTTTTCCTTTGTATTTTTTGACTTTTTCCTTTGTGAATTTTATTTAGTGACTCCCATAAGAATTTAACTGGTTATCATGGCTTACTGAAAATAGAAGAAAAATTAAGAGAAGGACTTCTGTTGAGGTTTCTTGAAATGTCCAGGAGTAATTAGAAGTTATAATTTTCCTTCAGGAGTATTATTTACTGAGGGAAATATGTAAAATTGACTAGAGTTAGAGTAGTATTAACAATAGTAAAGATGAGTACAACACTATTATTTCATAAAGCATTTCTCACGTGGCATTAACATTCCTGGACTTCACTTTCAACTTGATAAACATCCTGAGAATTAAGTTGCATTTACTTTTTTTTTTTTTTTTGGTTTTTTTTTTTGGTTTTTTCGAGACAGGGTTTCTCTGTGTAGCTTTGCGCCTTTCCTGGAACTCACTTGGTAGCCCAGGCTGGCCTCGAACTCACAGAGATCCGCCTGGCTCTGCCTCCCAAGTGCTGGGATTAAAGGCATGCGCCACCACTGCCCAGCCAATTAAGTTGCATTTACTTTTAACTGAGCAAATTAAGGTCTCACAACGTTTTAAGATGAATCCTGGGTCAAAAAGACAGAGCACAAGGCAACCTCAAATTTCTCAATGTGAAAATTCTTTGAATTCTAAGTCCTTGTTAAATAACTACATGCAATATAAAGCACATATTAACTGGGCATTCCTCATTGGCTAATCTCAAAGGACAGATTGTATCATTAGATTAAACACACAGTGAAAAGCTGGAGTTGAGGGATTGGAGTCTAAGAGGTGGCTTTATATGAAAGAAGGGATCATATGAGTTCAGAGCCTTATAGATTAGGTTTGCTTAGGTCTTCTACATTGAAGAGGTCTGAGAGATCAGGGTGTCAGCACACAAAAGGAGATGCTGACAGTGAGGAGAAAAACAGCACAAACCTCATGTTCCCATGGCCACGTTTATCCTGATGCTAAAGGTTCTGGGGATTCTGGAATTATCTCAGAAAAAGGCCTACTCCACTCAATTAGATGCCAAGTTTGGCTAGTTCTAAGTCTGTGGGGTACTGTGTCTTGTGAAGTGGTAAATAAAGCACTTGCTTTATTTGATCCTGTATTGTAA